ATGTTAGCAGGTTTCAATGTTAGCGGGTCTTAGCATTAGCAGGTGTTATGTTAGCAGGTCTAACTTTCGCTCCCGCTGAGCCGTTTTCAAAACTTCCAAATGTTTTCCAAATATTCTGTTTGGATCAGACGCTTGTCTTTGGCTCCTCCTACTTAACAGCTTGCTCTGATGTCTGGGAATCATTTGACTAACCGCATCGTTACAACCTTTTCACCAGGTCAATTTTAGGACATGACGGGGATGACCCAGCAGAGAATGCAGCACTGTGATTGGCTCTTTAACTGTCAGCCTGTCATCAGTGGCAGGAATCACTCAGAGAGATATTTACAGTGTTTCATTCTGCTGTAGGAGGTAAATATTATTACTTTCAGAGGTAGTTTCTGATTGGACGGTTGATCAGTTCAGTCAGACTGATGCTGATGAATCAGAATCTTTCCTGTAAAATATCTGCTTTACATCTTATTCCCTTTCATTTATAACATAAATGACACACACACACACACACACACACACACACACACACACACACACACACACACACACACACACAGAAGCTTGTTTGGATCTGGGAAACTCACCTCCTCTGGTTTGGATCTGATGGAAGCCACAAACACCGCCATGGCCACCAGGGACACAGTGAGGATCCCGCACCACACCTGGAGCAGCAGGTACTTCTGGGACGAGCGAGACGGAGCCTCCATCCTGTCAGAAAGACATCTGCATCATCTTCAGGCATCTCGTTCAGTCGCTTTGGGCTGGGATGACACCCAGCTCAAAGTTTCCACCTCTGAATGTAAATCAGCATTAATGCGCCATCATAGGCAGCGATGAGGAGGAGGGAGGAAGGCTCAGAGAACAGGTGGTGTTCCTCACTCACTGGGTCAGGTTCACATTCATAAGATGAAGACATGAGAAGATTGTGAGCCCTGAATTCTATTCACTTTATTTCTATAGCTCCAATTCCATTATATAATCTCACTCACTTTATAGATCCAGATCAACCAGATCATCCAGTCAGATTGATTCAAAGTT